GTCCAGCACCAGAAGCTGCGTTGGTTGGGACATGTTTTACGCATGCCGAACCATCGTTTGCCGAAGAGGGTACTGTTTTCCATGCCCAATTCGGAGAGGCGTAAACAGAGCGGTGGCCAACCCATTACCTGGCAGAGGAGTATGAAGGAGATCACGAAACGCTTGGGTGCTGTCGGTTCTACTCGCGTTCCAGGATGGGGACCGCGTGATCCTCACTGTGCCTGGTTGGAGACACTACAAGATATGGCTGCCAACCGATGTCAGTGGCGTTATTGTTGTCAGTTTCTGTCCAGATTGCCTGAGTGAATGTCTGGAGGTGTAGGCACCTCGGAACGATTGTGTTAAGCTAGCACTAAGTCGCTCCCCCATCCACCTTTGTTCTTTTCTTTACAATAAGGCTTTCAAATAAATCATGGTTGTACGGCAGTGAAGCATCGGTGTTGAACACTGTCATGCTGTCGATGATGATGATGATGTTGGATTTAAATGTTCTTCCCCAGGTTATTCTCAGTGACCTCATCCACCAAACTCATGCTGCTCTGATTCAGGAGGACCATCCCTTGTATGGAATCAGTTGGTTAAATCAGCATCACGGATCATGGCTCGAGTGCCGTAGGGGTGTATGTAAACTTATCGACCCAGTGTTATCCTTAAAGCCCTATGTCGTGAACAATGCATAGGGCAAGTTTGAGAGTGTCTGCTTCATCCTGTTGAGCTGTATATTATCGAAGCTTCTACAGGTTGAAACATTCACTCATCCAGAGCGTGACCGACCCACTAGCTTCGCACAAGTGTCGTAGTTCTGGAACGATGTGGAAACTTATTTACATGTATGGCAACGAAGCGCCAGTGTTGGACGCTGATGATGGACATCGACTGTCATGTTTGGCATTTGCACATCAGTATAGTGCGAGGTGTGGATTGGTAGACGGGAGGTTGGTGTCGTTTTACGGTTGCTGTAGAGGAATAACTCGAGTGATTATTTCACCTGACAGTTCTCTCCAAGCTGCTTGTTCAGTCAGTCATCACCCATGAACTAATTTCCGAAAATGTCAAGTCGGCCACGGGCTGTTCTTGGAAGGGAATACGGTGAACTGTTCATTGCTGTACTCAGTAACTCAGTGTAGCCCGTGGTCCGTGATATGGGTATCATTCTTTCCCGACCTTTCCCTTGAAGTGCTCCCAGGCGAGCCAACACTAATGTAATCTCTCCTGAGGAGTTGCCATGCACTGCCATCCCCTGATGGATGTTTTCACTAAGGCGGGGGACGATTGCACTATAAGTAAGTCGACAAATAATGGCCAACCTTCCTGGTGGAGTTGGCTAAAATGTCATCTAAAATTACGCACGAACGACACGTGAAACGTCTAAAGATCGAACGCGGTTCAAAGTCGGTGCCTCGTTCCACTAGCCACTTAGCGGGGACGTGGGCTGCAAGGAATGGTAGCTATCAGCCGAAGGAGATGTGATCTAGAAGTGGTCACAGGCCTTCGATGGGTCGTGATTTCCGTAATCCGGCCCATGGAATAGAGCTTGATTTATTGCATGTTCCAAGAGGTTACTTCATGGAACGATTATGAGTAGCCAGGTCATACACTGTCCACCTGTCGGTCGATTCCACTCAGCACAGGGCTGGGAAAAAACTTTGAGGCAGACGGTCTTCTGGCATGCAGAGTGCATGTCCTAACCAGCGCGAGTAGTTCATCTATCACGCGAGAGTTCCTTCTTCTTAAGAACATCTGGCGTACCTCAGCATTACTAATCTGATGTTCCCACCAGACCTGACCAATGCTTCGCGGACACCGATGATGAAACACTGACATCTTCCGTATCTCTTGCGCGTAGGGGCAACGTCTGTGATCCATAAAGCAGTATAGTTCGCACCACTGTAGTGTAAACTCTTCCCCTGACAAACTGACGTCATGTCGGCGGTGGTTTCTCAAACTAGACAGCTTTTTCATGGATATCCGTCTTCAACCACAGCAGTGAGGTCCATCCTTAGACAGCAAAGCTCAGTTTACAGGTGCTTTCCGCTGAACTCCACTTATGTGCATACCACCCTATACTCGGCAACCAAGCTGAACACCCCGACGGTGCTTTTGGGCGGAAACTGGGGAGCATCCGAAATATAAAACAAGATGCATTCAGCCATTTGCGGTAAAGATAAGTGAGATCTAGTAGCTCGGTAGTAAGACAACTCTCCAGCTGCACGTGCTTGGCTCCCGCTTTTAGCGATGTCAACAAAATGCAGTCTAAATGAAAATCACTACGTAGGGAGACAATCGGTTTGACACGGTGGAGGAACATCAGTTCCAGAGCGATGACTGTCAATGTTGGCCGTAACCTTTCCCTGAGGGGAAAGTGGGACAGCAACGGCAACTGCTAAAGGGAATAACGTGCTAACAGACTGGACGATGTTATTCTAATGCGCGCGACAGTCGAACCTGAGACATACTATTCCAACAGGATACATTTCGGCCCACACAACCTTTGCAAACTGGTTGTAGTGTTTCGGATGTGTCAGCTCACAACCGGCATCTGAGAAAGTTGGCACATGAAAACCGCCCGCTTCATTCTTAATCTAATATGTACGGCCTAACGTTCGTCTTATCAAAAAGCACGCACAAGTGCCGGGCGTTCGTCTTGGCACATATTATTACACTATTGATCGGTGTGAGATTCTCGATGTTTCGTACCATTGTGGCCAATTTATTTTGCCTGTTTTCGGGAGACTAAAACTGGCCCGATGACCCGTTGCCCAAACTTGATGGATTGCTGGGATGAACATGAGTTGTGATTCTGTGGTTAAATGAGGGCAGACTTACTGCTAATTCACTCAACTTGCCTCCCGTTTCTTGTTGGCTGACTGCGCGACCCTTACAGCCCAGAATAAAGTGTGTCGTCGGTCTGAATCCTAGACCAAAATCTGACCTATCAAAAGCAATGTGACGACCTAAAACAGAAACTTGCTAGAATCGGAATATGGCTCAGCTAATGTGTTGAGCAAACCCCACTGTCATCGTTCATCCAGAACAAATGATATCTTCCAATCAATTTCGTCATATGTACAAACAAAATCAGTCGATGATCGGTTTATCTCAAATAAAAAGAATGGAAAAATTAGAATATGATTGGATGAGCCGAATAAGATGTGAGGTAATAAAGTGAGAATATCACAGGGCTTCTGTTGAAATAGGTCATGTTTACACCGAGTTGACGCAAATGTACTTCATGGCCGTGACTACTCGATCAATCATCGAATGGATTTGACGTCTGAAAAGCAAACATTCACGCAAAAGGTAAAAAGGGGGAAGTCATTGTAAACAGTATCGGCAGCGTCGCACGAAATTCGCATCATTAACATGCCAGTCGTCTCATCAGATCGATTGGGGTTTGAAATGAAACAGACCTGAATATGCAATATTGATGAGCTTTACTACGATGGAAATTCATTCCCGTGATTCATGGTGGTGGGACTGTTAATTTAACATGACATAATTTAGTTAACCAATCGACGACGCCCAAACGCGCCAAACATTTGGGAAATGCAAGGCTGAGGCTGTTGTACGTTTATCGCGCATCACTTCACCATAATAAGTTGAAATGAATGTGGGAGAACTTGGACGGAGTGGCGAAAGTAAGAAAATGTGGTAGCCTCTGGAGCTTGTGGTTTCTTGTACTATATGAGAATTTGCGCGACGAAAATTCTAAAGTTAGGTAAGGCGAGAGCACTATAATTAACTGAAATACAGTTTGCTGGTTTTAAAGAGATGAATAGGAGCTTCTAGTCGCAACACTGCGGAAATCGGGAACGTACTAGAAAAGAATCCTCGATGAGCAGCGCCACTTGAGCACCGAGTCTGTGACGCGAGCAGCAACTTTTCATTTATCAGCCTAAGTTCGAAATAAGGCACACGTTTGGCGCTAAACTGAACGCAGCAGGTACCTGTGCGTTAGCCATGAAGTGACCAGTGATGCGACACAATCGATCAGACTGCCATTTAAAGTCGGCAGATGATTTAAGCAGTACCTTGGAGAGTTTACTCTCGTGGATGTTCAGTGATATTTGGCGGTTCGGTTACACTTAAACAAAAGTTGTTCTGCTGTGGTACCTGGATAGGTAATTACCACACTAACCCGATGCACGAGGGCTGAGATACTGCCAGGCTACTTAAGCCAAACAGTGAGTAATCGAAAATTCGGGGGCGGAATCGAACTACGACTTATCGTCAGCGGGCTGCGCCTTCATCACTGAGCTGCTGACCATATTCCGGAGACGCTTCCCGGTCATTAACTTCAAACAGTAAACAGCAGTTTGGGACAAGGAACCGACGCTGGGGATTTCAAATGCTTGTAGTCAAATATGTTTCTTGATGGTACTGATACTTATATTGAACATACGACAACTAGAGTTCTCACCTTATGGGGCTTTGGAGTGTCGATCAAGATAGGGTCATCCTGAGGGAGAGTCGGTAAGGAATTGGTATACGCGGACGACACATTGGCTTTCATCGCAGCGTGAGGTGGAACTGATACAGAATCGTTCGGTCGTGGCTCACACAATGGACAAGACCAATGAAGGACAGGTGCGCACAATTCCGTCGTTGAGGAGTGACATCGAAGACACGCCGTGTGAAAGACATGGCCACATCTGTAACAGTGAAAGAAAATATTGCGTTCACATAAACCTGAGAATCAAGCAAAAATAAGCGGCACGTATTTTTACGGACTGTGGCGTGATGGAGCTAACGGGGTGCTTACGACATGGCGAAGTATACAGAACATGTTACTCACCGAAACAGTATGGTGGTATTTCCAGAGCTGCTGCCTTGCAAGTGTTTGGTCACGACCAGTGATGACCGCAGATGGACTGCACACAACGCGCAATGCGTTTGGGTTGTACCAAAACCACGGCCGAACCGAGTCAACGCGCTGCTCAATAGCGAAGTCAGATCTGTTCTGGCCAGCTGTGTATTGAGCATCATCTGGTCGGCTTCGAATTGACAGGTCGCCACCAATCGAGTAACAAGAGCGTTAGTTTTGTTGTCGAACTTAGCTGCGTTCTCCTTATTCGCCGACTGGTACAAAATAGAATACGACAAAAATACTGGTGTACTTTACACTGGTAAAGTGAGGGGTCTAACAGAGGGTCAGTGAGTAACGAATAGGATTCTCCTATCAACACCATGGACGTGTTATCAGCTACGAAGCGTAAGTCTCAATAGCTGCGATTAGTAGGGTAGCCATAGCAGAGAACCCCTTAGAAAACAAATGAACACACCAATAACGGCCCCAAAGAGGACAACACTACCGGTTTGAAGCAACGAATTTCGAATTGTTGACATCAGCAACTTGTATCTGGCTTCGGGGACATGTTTTTCACTAGTTAACGGATTATAAAGCTGATAGGAAATGAAGGATGTCAGTGGGCGATATTAATGCAATATGACGGTAACACATTGCGAGGACAAGGTAAAAAAAGTTACCTGCAGAACATAGGACACAATGGTGGGTAACGAGATACTTGATGGTATGTAGGACATCAGCAGGTGGAAGACCTCATTCATTTCTGAAAAAGAAACAACAAGAACATGAGGTGGCAGAAGAAGTGGATTATTATAGAGCGAGCATAATCGAATCGAGGAAGAGAAGAAAAGTGCAATGCCAACGGGTGAGATGGTCGTCCGAAGCAACGAAGGGTGTTTTACCCATGCTTGTTTGTTAAAGGACGAAACTCCTAGGATAGCGAGAATGCGCTGGAACTCGTTTGTAGGGCAAGTGTTGCCAAGACGGATAACGCTGCATCTCGCCTGTCTCGAAAAAGCGTCTTCAGATTTTTGCACTCCCTGTGTGAAGATCCGAGCACGTACCACTACCTCTGACGAGTCAGAGACGGAGAGGAAGCAGTCTTATTCTTGCTTTCATTCTGTTGAATCCTTAGCTGACTGATATTCGTGGGAGTTCTTTATGAATTCAGTCCAGGACTGTCTAGACCGGCGATGCCTCAGTATCTAATGTGTCGTTCCCTAATAAAGCCTGATGACCAAAACAAAACATTCTGAATAATGCGTGAAGTATTCGTCGATAACACGGAAAAAATGAACCCTCATCATCACTCCATCGGGATTTTACGAACCCGTTCCCGAAATAAACTAAATCATGGCGATAGCACTTTGAATAAATATACTATTCTATCTTGAAGCGGCACATCAAAAGACGTGATTTTCGCTCTGCAAACGGCTCCCTTCTGGTTTCGTCCATAAACACTTTACATAAAAACCTGACCCACAGAGTGACGCCGGCACAACCGTTGGTAGTATCGAAAAGAGCGCGCACCAAAACGCCGGAATTCCCGACTTTCGTCATCCGAAAACGTAAGTTTTCAAGTAAACTAGATGGAACTATATGAATTTATCAAAGCACGAGGGAATGAATTGGTGCCTAGAACCACTATGCCGACAATAATACTCAAAACAATTGGTTGTTGGTCAGGTGGCTCTTGATCTGTTTGCCGAGCTTGGCAATTGACTTGCAAACCTTTCGTCACCATACGATGAGACAGCTTTACGTATGTCTAGAAGGGTCTTCTGACACATTTTCGCCAAAGCTAAACAATGTAAATTTTAAAACTGAGGATCGCATCTCTAATAACGTGATCAAGGACAGATAGCTGAATTAGCAGCGAGACAATTAAGCTGTAGTCCGGGGATTCGGACCACCAATATTTTGAAGTCTTCTGAGAGATTAATAGAGTAACTAAACTAACCGCTTCAGCCCACGATCTCACGATTCTCTGCAAAGGGACAACGGCTTCATAAAGTAAGCTCATTCATCCAACTAAGTTGGTGGTTCGTGAGTTCTGAAATCAAGTTATACCTAGTGTTGATGAACAGTACGACCGAAGCTGCCAGCAATTTCCGGCCCCTATTGCAGGTTTGGGTATTTCGCCCATTGATTCAGTTTGCAGGACCATTCACAAGGTAAGTGTCTATCCGGAGGAAAAAACCTGGAGTAGGAGCCAATGTACACGTTTGCAGCATACCGTACATTCCAACAGAGATTTTGTTCTATCAATGAAGCCAATCTATTCTGAACAGCCGAGAGTCAACGTACAGCTGTTTCACCCTTGTTGGGAATCATGAGCAGTGCGCATCTCACGAAACTCAGAGTTTCAAACCCATGACCTTTCTTTCAGTTATTAGTTGAACACAACCGGGCACAGCTTATAAGCATTGTGATTAGCTCTCATATAGAGTACTTTGCATGCTATGCTTGGTGAGCCACTTGGACAGCAATCCGTTTGGATCCTTGACAATTAGAAATAAATTATGCACGCAGGTGTCCAAAGACCAACATTAAATTCGATCACCTACATAAACGGGTTCGAAATAACTCCACTCCATGCGGAAACCTCGAAGGTGCGGAATGTGAGAACACAATAACGAAGGATCTATATGTTTCAAGTTGTTCGTAAAAAAGATGATCCAATTTTGTTTACGCATTGGACCTAATGGGAATAAATTATTGCGTCTAGTCGGTAAAGCATAAATCAGGATAGCTGGTCATAGTGATTGCAATGTGTTAGTGAACTACTGGAAAACATAGGTTAGCACGAAGGAATTTCGCACAGTTTTTTTTAAAAAAAAGAAAAATTGAACGTAAAACTGTGGGGGCTTTTAAACGTCGAGAATCACAAGATATTAGGAAATCAGGATGTGGCTGAAATGACTAGGACGGTGATCACAATTCGAACTAGGCTCACTATTATTTATCCCTATGCTTCGGATTTTTATATGAACAAACAAAATCACACACTTGAATACGAGAGGTATTTAGCTAACCAAGAGACGCGGTCATCCTTCAAGAAGACAGAGCTCGTCATGCCAGACGAGGGGGATAGATGACAATGTGTCCAAATATTCGTAGCTCGTGTGGGGTAATTGGCTATGGATATGTTCACTGAGCTTGGCAAGAGGCATGCAAACGTTTCGTCAACACGGCAGGAGACGTCATGAGTGCGCACTGGGCGGTTTCCCTTTCTTGGGGTTCATCAAGTAGGCGCAGTTTCCGAGGTTCCTCCAATGATATGTTCTAACTGAATCTAAATTATATGGCCTTTGTACAGTAAATTCAGTTGAATAATACCACAGGCGAGAGATTCAGCTGGGATTCAGTTGAGTCTCCCGAGAAAATCAAATTCCTACGCAAACGACTGTGCTGAATCTAGAGTTGTTATATGGAATAACGGGTGGGAATAAAAACGGTCGGTAAGTTACAATAACAAACGTGCCACTCACCACTGATCAGCCGAGGGTCTGTAAGTGAGGCTTGGACACCCAACAAGACATCGATAACGTGGAACCAGATTTCCTGTAGGTGAGCAAGACGCAGGTAAAAATGAATTGTTACACCTTCCAAGACACTGGAGGAGTCATCATCTAAAGTGAGTAAGTCAGACACATCCAAATCGCACACAGTTTTACATGCCCTCTGACGGAAGCTCGACAATAATATACTGGCAGACAGCCAAAACTTAGACAGAAACACAAGAAACGTCAGAAATGGAGCTGCACCATAGAAGTTTCAGTTAGGAACTTAGGATTTCGTTTCTAGGGGAAGGGATAATAACGAAGAAGTGGCCACTTATGAGGGAATTCCTCGACAGGGAGAGTATTGTACCCGAAAATAAGGATGGACTCACTGACCTTGACTCTCTTATCTGATATGCCATCCTGAGACGTCTGTCGTTGGCAAAATGCAAACCAAGAATCTGCCGAAGTACGAGAAGCATCATCTACGAGGTGCGTGAGCATCTTGGAGGGGACGGCAGACGCGTTTGGGGACAAAGAGTCAGCTGCCGACAGATCACATGAGTTTGAAGGATGCGACTGGATATGGGAGTTCCACGATTTTAAAAACGTCTGTGGATGGAAATTAAAAGTGTGTTCAGATTATAAATCCTAAGGTGAGTTACATCCAATAAAATGGAGCAGACTTTTCCGCAGAACTTGTGTACTCATCTGTCGGTCGGTATCGACTAAGTGGCTCCCAGGGTACACAACCCAGCATCAGAAAACGATTAAACGAATAAGTCCCGATCAGTGCCTGGTCAACGTTCGCAACCTGGGTGGGGGACAATATCGATGAGAGGTTGAAAATCCGTAATAAACTTTATCACTTGCCTTCACGGAACAAATACAAGATGTGATGAACTCGAAATCCTGTGCTCAATCTCGGGCGAAACGCGACAGTTGATTAAACGAGGAAATATCAGATGATGTACGATCACCGAGCGAAAGCAGGCGACAAACAAGAAAAATAATCGACGACCCAACTATGCTGTCAAATCAAGTCAAAACGTATCGAGCACGTTTTTACGTTGTGTCCAGTATCAACTTCGGTAATATAGTTCAGCAAACGTTGGTACTGACAGCAGCGGCAGTATCACTCAGTCACATTTCACAGGTTGTTGAATCATTTTTCTATTAATGTTGTGTACAACGTGATTCCCCGTTTTTTTAGTTTTGTGCCTATACCGACTTTCATTTTTTTGAATTGAACTTAAACCGCTCTTCNGTCATCGTAGGCCTGGTAAGGCCAGCACGTGAGTTTCGCCATCTTGTGGTCACCTTGCCTTGAGTTGGTGTGAACTTTTAAATCCTGTTTGGAATTAGCAGTTCTGAAACCAGTGTATAGGAGCTGCCATAATTCCACGATTTGAAGTGTGTATATCATTATTATTGTATTATGGTATTCATAGGAGCCCATTAGCCACACGATGCTCTTAGCTGCAAAAACTTTACGAGTGGAGCAAAACTTTTTACGCCAAAATGTTGCATTTTGTTACGTATGTGCTCAAACCGAAAACCATACTAATCTACGTTAATATTCTTGCAGCTCGACAAATTTCGTTGTCCACTGAAGCAATAATACCTCTGGCGGAATAATTTCCCAGCATCGCTGGGAACCCGGGATGCCTAAGTTTGGACTGGTACTCTGAACTCAACTGCCCGATTGCTTTAATCCATCAGAGACACGTTGTAACTTTCGAAAATTTAATTCCATTGTGCGAATACTGAGCGCCATTTATATCACTGTATTTGTTGAACGATTTGACTTTTGGGATTTTGCGCGTAACTCAACGTGGCCCAGCTGATTGTTACAGGTATCAGTCAGAGGTGTCATCCAAATTATTGGTTCGAAGTGCTGACATAAGCTGTCCCGTTAGCCAGAAGATCCACCGTTGAGCCAAACAGAAGATTTGGTGACCTCGATTACCATACCGTGTATAAGATCAACTTTCGAAGAGCCTGCGTGGAATCAAAACGGCTTCATACAACCAACTGCAGTTATACTTGAGGAGACCGGTCACTAGTGGAGAAATGGCGACTTCGGCTCTGTTAGGGGATGGTCGGTATTCCAAACGAGCGCACACTAGGCTATAGTTATCGAATGACCATGCTGTAGAGACTCCATGATGCGAGCCTATCTCATGAGGAGTATCTTTTGGGGTATCACTGCACTAGAAGCTGTGGGTAAAAGCTGGGTAGTAGTTTAAAGTCAATGACAAAAAGCCGTCTTAGTAAGACACGTAATGAACCGGAAGTTTAATCCCGATGACAGCAGAACACACGAGAACATAAACTAGAAGGACTATTGCAGAGGTATAACTTACACTTTCATATAACTCGGCAGCCTTCTCCAAGTCTCCAAGCGTTTCATGCAGATAGGCCATTTCGTTAGGATGCCGTTCGACTGATAGCATCTGACCAAAAGATAAACAAATGTGATTAGCTGATTCACAACCACGGTGGGATTCTGGTAAGGGAAGAGACTTAAGGAAAAGCGAATACCTGCAGAACGACTGACGGGCGATAAGTGGACAGATTTTCTAGCAGGAACTGCATCAACGAAACTTCCTGACAGGACGATTGGCGGCTAATGAGATATACATAGTATTCGGAGACGGATGGTTCTAACTCCATGAGAAATCGATCCCAATTGTTTTGAGTCA